TATCATGTTCTTTCTTACTCTGTCTCACCTCTATTCACTACTAACACTGTCCCATATCCTCCATACTGTCTACATCAACTTCTATCCCCCCACTCCTCATCCTTCGTCTCAAAAATATACCACCTAAAAGTAATGTCCCTGCTTCTCATATAGTATCTTCTCACATAATTCCTCATGTCGTCTTTCATGTGTCACGATCTAATCCTAAAAGGGAACTCCCAATCCGATCGTATCTTCTCTGCCCTTTTAAAACTCAAAAATTTTAGGGTCCTCCATAGCAAAAAATCGATCAATAGTATCTTACTACAATCTTGTGCCAAATCTTCTTTGTTCAAGAATCCTGTCGTAACTGCCTTACTCTAATTAACTCCACTTCTCCCAACTATTCTTCCTCCTTCCTATATCTTACAATACCTTCCTTGCTTTCTAATTATTACTTAATATCCTCCTTTCTGCCACTTACTTATATCCATATCCTCTTTCTATCTTTGTTTCTATCTTCTTCCACAATATCTTCTCCATCCCCTTGTCTGGTACTCTCAGCCTCACGCCTCGCTTCTGTCCGGTATCTTCACTCTGGCCACCTCTGTGGAACGTTCGCTCTGCTTCTGCAGAAATTTCCACCGGCCGGAAGTCCTGCAACCACTCCTCGCTGCTGCTTTCCCAACAGAGCACCCCTAAAATTTTTCTAAATAATTTTTCCTAAATTTTTATTTTCCCTGTCAATCTGACCTTTATCTATATCTTACTTATCCAAACCCCATCTAATATCCAATCCTCTACTCCTATCCATGTCCATCTTCCATATCTCTCTTATACACTCCCACCTTCTATCCTAGTATCTTTCCTTCACTCATCCAGCTACTAGTACCTATTTATTCCCTTCTCTGTGTATCAAAATATCTCCTTTTCTACCATATCTACCTACATATTGTTCACCTACTCCTCTCCAAAATCTTCACTCATCCCAACAATCATATCTTATGTTGCTACTTACTTCTCCCTGTCTAATCCATCTGTAGCATTCCATATCTATAATACGTCCACATATCCTCCATTAGTCTAACTACTACAATATAATACTGATCTATCCTCATATCTCTTGTTTGTTTTATATCCACTACTTTTCTCTTATACCACACACTTTATATTCCTGTCTCATACTGTCTTCCACATACCTATAAGCTGAATAGATGCTATCTGGTTTGTGCACAGATCTACTATCCTTTGAACACTCCCTGTCATGCTAAAATCAACTGATAACTCAAATCGATCAGATTTTTGTGAAAATTTTGTAAAAAGTATAAATACAAATTCTGTACCCACACCCATGCACGGCTTTTCAATCAAAACCGTAACTGATCTGATCAGAGCATTGCCTGTTGGATTTCCTGTGCTATTCTCCATAAGTGTTGGTTGCACCTCTACGCATGAATGCGATGTGAAAAAGCCAGAGGTACGAGACCAAGACTCTTCTAAAGACGTTGCTGGAAATGGCCAGCCCAATACTCAAAAGAAAGATGGTGATTCAGCTGGGTCTTCAGACCCAGAAACACTCAAAGTTTTTAAGGACGATAACGGTTTTCTTACTAGGGTAATGGCTGAAGTCTTTGGTGTTTTCAAGGAGTACTTTGAGAGTGTAGGACTGGCAGATCTTAAAGAATATCAAGCTCACAAGAATGAGATTTGGGAGGTTGTGGCTATGCACTTGTGCAGGTACAATCTTATAATCAAGGAAGAGGTTTCGAAAAGAAGTAGCACTGCTGTAATCAAAAGAAAAATACAAGA